TGTTCACGTCCCTAGTGGCTTCAGGCCGGGCTGTAGGATGTGCCCCGTCCCCCACCGTGAGCCGCCAGCAGCGCCGCTTCCCGAGGTCGGGGCGCCACATGGCCCTGGTGGGGACGCTTGGCCCGAGCTGTTTTACCTGGTCTCCCTGGCCCGCTCGGGTCTCCCCTCCTCCCGCTGAGCCTGGGCTCAGGTGACGCAGCCTTTAAAGGGCAAATCCAGTCGGGACATCAGTCCAGTGGTGGCGAGCGAGTCTCCACCATGTCCGTGAACAAGGCCCGGCTGCTCCCCGCAGCCATTTCCCTCCCCCAGCTTTGGGGTTTGACACAAGACAGCCCCTGGCGTTTCTGCGCCTCACGTGGGCCCGGCTTGGGGAAGGACACTTGCTTCTCTGCGGGACTGTGTTGAACGAGCAGCACCCCGTCTAGCGCGCGCCTCACGTCCCCCACAGCTGGCTAGTGTCTGGGCATCTGTAATCAGTCACAAGCCTCCGAAGGGGTACACGGTGCCCGTGTCCCTGCGTGTGGGCCAGCTGCGGGCTAATCCTGGAGGGGGAGCCTGCAGGGGTGAGGCAGCCACCGCAGCTTGGTCTAGTGGCCGGAACGGGTTTGGTGGCGGCAGGCTTGTCCCCGGGGCTCCGGGCGGTGAGGCTCCTTGCGCACTTCTGCTAAGTTGGTAAGCTGGGACGCGAAGCCAGGTCTGCTCTTCAAACAGTGCTCACTGGGGTCCCACCACCGTTGCTTCCTCCTCCCTGCGCGTGATGTTCGTAAGTGGTGGGTCACTGGGGAGCATCGGCTCCGTAGGCACCTCCGGGCAGTTTCTGGAGTTTTCTCCTGCTTTCGGGATCTTCCACAGCCAGCAGGCCCTGAAGTGAGAAAACACACAACATTCAGACTTGTAGTCAAGGCAGGGCCCTGCGTCTCTGGCCCGCTTCTGCTCGGCCTGAAACAGACTCCTCAGAAGTTTCCTTGCAAATCAGCATTGCCGTCTCCTCTTTGGAACTGGGTTTCAAACAGTTGGATGACGAAACGGAAAAGGAAATTCCTGGAATGTTCTGGAATGTTCTGTGGCTCGACACCTCTCCTCCCTCCTCTGCCCTTTGTGCAGCAGACACCCCATTTCTTGGGATGTCCCCATCCCTCAGGCCAGTGTGTCGCCTCTGGGAGCCTTCCTGACCCCACCCGGGTGGGCCCCTGTCCCCTCTGGGGTGTTGGGCACACGGTGCACCATCGTGGCCTGCAGACATGTCTTGCCCTACCCCTACAGTGGCTCTCTGGGGTTTGGTGTCTGGACTGTCCTTGCATCTGAGCGTCATGTACAGATGCTTTCCTGGGTGACCCAGACTTTGCCAGTTTACAGAACATATGATTCTCTGTCCTAACAAAAACACTGAGGAGGTAACTGAAAATTCACACTGAATGATTACACTTGAAAGAGCGCTTAATTGAGGAAGAAGGCAGAAATTAAAAACAAGAAACAAAAGCTCCCCTGTCTGGACTCAGGCACACATGAGTCCCGGCTCCCCTACTTACAGAGTATGCCTTTGGGCCTGTTCTTAGCTTCCCTGAGCCTTTGTTTTCTCATCTGGGAAATGGAAGCGTGTAGGAGTGGGCTAGCAGCTAATGTGAAGACATTTGGTTGCTGGCAGCTATAATTAACATGATAGCAGGAAATCCATCGATTTCTGCTTTTGTACTGTGTGATGTACCGAATTATCTGGCCACATTTTTGTGTGCGTTTTAAGACTTCTTTTAGCTATTAGATTGAAAACCATGGCTTGTGAGTCATGACCCACTTTGTATCTGGAGGAAGACTGGGCTTGTTTTCAATGGATGGCTGGTCAGACACTTGGATCATCTCTCTTTATGTAGTAAACAAATTGGTACTCCCAGAGCACGGTCATTATAATCATTTAGCAAATAGCGCAGACACATCTGAGTGGCCGGGGATGTTTGCTCCCCGCCACACGCGACACACTCATCACTGCTCTATGTGAGTCTTTTTTTTTTTTTTTTAATGTTTTTATTTATTTTTGAGAGAGACAGCGTGAGCAGGGGAGGGACAGAGAGAGAGAGAGAGAGAGACACAGAATCCGAAGCAGCTCCAGGCTCTGAGCTGTCAGCAGAGAGCCCAACACGGGGCTCAAACCCATGAACCATGAGATCATGACCTGAGCCAAAGTTGGACACTCAACCGCCTGAGCCCCTCAGGTGCCCCCTCTATGCGAGTCTTTTGAACACGGACTTTGGAGTCGTCGACAGGCCCTGCTGCAGGTTTCACACGAGCTCTGATGGGGAGCGTGAGCCCTCTCTGGGGTGCCCTTCCCCACCGTGCCGTGTGTTGTATCAGTTTGCAGTATTCCAGTGTTCTCCAGGGATCCCCGTTGAGACAAACGGATTACAAACAGTAAAGTAGCCCTCCTGTGGCTGAGGTTTTGATACATTTCTATGCGTGTGACTGTAGGAAACACGCACAGGTATACAAAGCACAAGTAACCGCAGTTGCTGTTGTCTCGGCTCAGGCCGTGCACCAGGCAGCGTGCTGGGCGCCTTGACATTCTTCCTTCCTTACAACCCCCAGAGCCCAGCAAGATGGGTGTCCGAGGTTATGGTCAAGGGAGCTGATCCAGGAGCCAATCCCCGGCCTCCGCCTACAACGGTTCCACCAGCCTGTCTGGCTCCAAAAGCCTGCGGCCTCTCTCCCTCCTCATGTGTCAGGAGCCATAAACAGGACATTCCACGTTCCTCCTGACTGTGAACAGACCGTTGTTGCGAGGGTCGCCGCCGCGAAGCCACAGTGTTGCGCTTTCCCCAGGCAGCTGCCACGGGGGGGTGGGGGGCCAGGCCTGCCAGAGGCTCCCTGTGGCTGCCCCCCCCTTCCCTGTGGTTCCCTTGTGATGCTGGTCCTGATGAGCGTGCCTCGGGGCCTCTGCCATCCTGTGCAGAGCTCGTCGTGGGCTTATCCGGGCCCAGTTCTCTGCGAGCTCTCTTCGTGGCCATCATGCCGGTAAAATGCCCGTGGTCTGTGGGTAACAGAAGTTCAGGGCGTCTGCACTCAGCGGGAGCCCAGGCAGGACACAGGTCTGCAGGCCGCTCCCCGGGCCTGGGCTCTGGGACCCAGCAGTGCAGGGGACATGTGAAGCCATGCGTCCTGAGTAGCGCTCTCAAAACAGGCTGTGGGAAGTGGCTCCTTCCGAGGACGACCTTGGTTGGTATTTTTGAAAGAAATTGCTACCTAGTGTCTTTAGTGGTTGAAGTCTTCTGATGTGCTGGGATGGCGGGAGTTACCCGTTTACATCGAATTATTCTTTACATAATCGGGCAGATGATACTTTCCACGCAGTCTTCTAGATTCCCCTGCAAGAAGCTTTTCCACAAATCTGCCACGAAGTGGGTTAGAGCACCCCAAATTGCGGGTCGGGAAAATGAAGCTGGCAGAAGGGGAGGAAGATCTGTCCCAGCCATCAGGACAGATTGGGCATATCCGTTAGCAATGACCGTGCATCCTTCTAGGGAACTGGGGGCACGTCTGGGGGGACGGGAGGCTTAGGAAGCATAGCTCATGGGCTTTTCTTGCTGAATCACTATTACTTTTAATACTGTTACTATAACAACGGGGTTGGGGCCCTGAACCCCAAATATTGAACTGGGGCCATGCCTGCAAGTTGATCTGAGGATGCTGTTGAGATGTTTATGCTGGTTTCTCTTCCCTTAAGGGCCCCAGGTCCAGTGCTCTGAGTTCTGTGAGCTCTTCAAAGTCTGTCTCTAATTACTTTTGATGGTGAGCTTACTGAGGAAGGCCATATCTTTTCTTTTTTTTCTTTTTTTAATGTTTATTTATTCACTCAGAGAGACAGGGAGAGAGAGGGAATCCCTAGCAGGCTCCACGCGGACACTGTAGACTCAGGGCTCGAGTCCGTGAATCGCGAGATCATGACCTGAGCTGAAATTGAGTCGGAGGCTGAACCGACTGAGCCGCCCAAGCGCCCCCGTATCTTTTCTTTTAATTGTGCTTCATGATGTGCTTTGCAGGGGAGTGTGGGCTTCCCAGGCTGGTAGACTGAAGCAGGGGTAAATCGGTACTGAGTACGCCCTTGTCATCCTCGCCGGAACTCGGCTGTGCCTCCTGCTTTTTCTGTTTGACTGACCTCAGACTTTACCACAGTCCACACTGTAGGTGAGGTTGGTTGTAGTGAGTAATCGCTGGGTGAGCGGGGTCTCAGTGAGGGAGAATCGGCAGAGGGTCCTCACGGGGAGCGCGGGGCCATTTCCGAGTTGACCCAGGCTGGGCTTGAATCCAGGCTCTGCCCCTGCTGTTGGGGTAAGCTGGCAAGGTCCTTCTTTGGTGACTCAGTGTTCACACCTGAAAGATGGGACAGTCATGCCTGTCCTGGAAGACTGTTCTAAGGAGTAGGGGCACCCGGGCGGCTCAGTCGATTAAGCGTCTGACTTCGACTCAGGTCATGATGTCACCGGCTATGGGTTCGAGCCCCGCATCAGGCTCTATGCTAACAGCTCAGATTCTGACCTGCTTCAGACTCTGTGACTTCCCCTCTCCCCCCTTCCCCTGCTCATGCTCTCTCTCTCTCTCTCTCTCTCTCAAAAATAAATAAACATTAAAAGCAAGAATGTTCTAAGGAGCACATATAACAACGGAGTGTAAAGGTTAGAGTGCAGTGCCTGACGTCTAATATGTATTTGAGACATAGTCCTTCCCAACCTTTGTCCACCCGTTAGACTCGCTGGCGTGGTGTTTGCTGAGGTCAGGTGCAGGGGTCCCAGCCGCAGCTCAGTTCTGCAACCAGCATGGCCCAGGGGCACCCCCTCAACACTCAAGAGAGTAAGACCTCTCACTTGGCGGTTGCTATGGGCGACGCAGGGAAACACGAAACGGTAACGGAACGAGCTCGATTCATCACTTCTGCACCTGCTGCATCTTCCCGCTTCAGGAAGTAAACATGTTTACAGATACTTCTCTGTTTTGTTTTTCTTTTCCGTTCTCAGTGCCTAAAACAGTATGTCGAGCTCTTGATCAAAGAAGGACTGGAAACTGCGATTAGCTGCCCCGATGCCGCCTGCCCGAAGCAAGGTCACCTGCAGGAGGAAGAGGCACGGACCCCCCAACAAACCCGGGTCGTAACCTGCGCGACTGGGCCCTGCTTGCTTGGCTTCGCTGCTGTCGTGGGTTCGCTTCAGGCTGACCTGCCGTTGTGTTCTTGCCCTCGGCTTGTGACACTTCTTGTTTGTATTTTTTCCCTTCTAGATCGAGTGCATGGTGGCGGCGGAAATTATGCAAAGATATAAGAAGCTACAATTTGAAAGAGGTAGGTGGCCCAGCATATTGACCAGCTGTGATTCCTGTGGTAGAAGAAAGGTAGCGCGGAGTGCTTCTGGTGGACAGGATTGTACCTCATTTGGCTACGGCAGAAGTGAGAGAGTCGACGTATATTCGATTTCTGAAATTTGTCATTTTAAGAAAAGTGTTTTTTAATGTCCGTTTATTTTCGAGAGAGAGAGCGTGCAAGCTGGGGGAGTGTCAGGGATGCAGGGAGAGAGAGTGAATCCCAAGCAGGCTCCTTGCTGACAGCACAGAGCCCGGCATGGGGCTTGATCTCACAAACCGTGAGACCATGACCTGAGCCAGTGTCAAAGTCGGATGCCTGGCCAGCTGGGCCACCCAGGTGCCCCAGGAAACCTGCTGCCTTGAACCCTCTGCAGAGCTCACATTGGGAAGGACTGTTGTTGGGGCTCTATTGGGTCACACACAAGAAGGATTTGGGAAATACAAATAGGGGTTTGGCCTCGGGGTGGTTTAAAGAGCTTTCACCCTCAGGGGGCACTATTATTCCTCAGCCGAGTTAGGACTGACAGTTTGAAGACCAAATCCTTAGACCCATACAGAAGACCCAAAGGCATAGGAGGAAGCTCTGAGGCCAAGCACAGGTGAATTATGATGCCTGCCATCCTGAGCGGGAGGTAGCCTTTCCTGGGCACTCACTGTGCACCTGGTGCTGAGTCCCTGGGCTCAGTAAGTATCCGGAAGCCCTGCCTGTTGTCGTCATGTGTTAACAGGACACCCCCAGAGGCTAACTAGCTCGCCTGATTTCCACCTCTGGTGGGTGGTGGGGCGCAGTGTGGACCAGATCCCCTCCCCAGGCCCCCGAAGTATGCTGCACAGCCCCCGTGGCGAGAGCCAGGCCCCTGGAGTGCGCTGCACAGCCCCCGTGGCGGGAGCCAGGCCCCCGGAGTGCGCTGCACAGTCCCCGTGGCGGGAGCCAGGCCCCCGGAGTGCGCTGCACAGCCCTGTGGCGGGGGAGCCAAGCCTGCCGTGGACCTTGGGTCTCCAGGAGTGCAGTGTGGCTCATGCAGAGCGGCGACGAGCTCATTTTCAAGGTCAGGTATCCAGGACTGGCCTTCAGCCCTGCTCCCTGAAGTGTGCCACGGTCATCAAATGATGGTTTAGAGAGCCCATCCATTCTGTTCGGCTTCATTTTCGTATGAATCCTGGACCTTGGGCTTATCTGAAAGGGAGCAGAGTAACTGATTTGTGCAGGGGATGCTCTTTAGGCAAAACTTCACTGTGAAGGCAACGCATCTGAACTCTGACCTCAGCTCAGGCTGTAGGAGTTCATCCCGCACCCGTGCTCTTCCTGACCTGGTCCTGGGCCGCGTCAGGCGCTCATGCCTGAGATGCAGCCCTGGGAACACCGGCGAGATGGGAATGGAGGGCAGACCAGAGCAAAGTATCCCGAGAGCCTCAGCTTAGCTGAATGTGGGAAGTCTTTTCTTTTCTTTTCCATGTTTGTTTTTAAGAGAGAGACAGAGACAGAGAGAGAGAGCACAAGAGTGAGAGAGTAAGTCTGAGCCGGGCAGGAGCAGAGAGAGAGTGGGGGGGACAGAGACTCCGGGCTGTCAGCACAGAGCCTGACGCGGGGCTCGAACCCACAAACCATGAGATCGTGACCTGAGCTGAAGTCGGACACTCAGCATACTGAGTCGCCCAGGCGCCCCTTCTTGCTAAAGATACTTGCATTTCTTCTAGAGGCTTACTTCTGGAAAACAGAAAAAGGCAATGTGTGGCCAACTTAAAAAAAAACAACACACAACTCAAACAGGATTTTGATGGCACTGAAATTGTTTTCAAGAGCCTGTTTATTTAAATGCCACATATCATTTGGTTTGGGGTGGTTTGCAGCTTAAATATAATTCCATGTGATACAAGAAGCAGTATGTGGAGCTATAAAATTGATTAATTTGGATTTCTCAGCCTTCCAAGATCTTTTGAAAATATTTTCCAGAGAGAATCCTGACAGAAACTGGTAGTTATTTGGGTTACAAGAAAATTGACTTTCTCTGACCTTGAATTTAATTTTAAAATGCAGCTGGATAAATATTCCTACCTAATAATTTTGACTTTGTACTTTCAAATGCTTTGTAATTTCCAGTGCTTTGGTTTAGCCAAAGATTTAAAAAAAAAAAAAAAGTTGCATAAAAATAAAGCCAACTTGACTTAGGTTTAATAGAATATCTCAAACCCATGACTTTAGAACATTTTGCTAGAATTATGTGAAAAGCCACAAAAACACAGAATAAACTGACTTAATACAACCAAAGATCCTTCTGAATGAAGCGTTAGGATAGCTAAAGGAGGGGCACTGGGTGGCTCAGTCCGTTAAACGTCTGATTTCAACACAGGTCATGATCTCAGGGTTGGTGGGTTCGAGCCCCGGGTCGGGCTCCGTGGTGACATCGTGGAGCCTGCTTGGGAATCCATCTCTCCCTCTCTCTGTCTCTCCCTCTTTCTCTGACCCTCTCTGCCCTTCTCTGCTTCTCATACTCACTCTCTCAAAACAAATAAATATACTTGAAAAAAATTATGAAAAGAGCTAAAAGTAAAGCTGTGACGTCTAGCTAGTGCACTGAACAAGTTTTGAGATATGATCAGAAAGCAAGTTTCAGCCTGTTCTGTCCTTTCGAAATGCAGTCAGGGAGGAGAAAGCCTAGTTGCCAGGTCTTCTGACAACAGTTCGTTACTAGACAGTCCTGTGGTCGGTTTAAGGTGCAGAAGTTGTCTCCTTAGAGATGTCTTAGAACATCTCATCTGATACAACAGGCTTGATCTCTCTCTCTCTTTGTTCATCGAAGTGTGGCTGACACAACGTTTAGTTCGTTTCAGGTGTAACAACCCTGATTTTAACCTGATCTCCGCACTACTCCAGCTGGGGTATCTGGCAAGCCAGAGGCCAGGCAAAGAGGCTGTGGGGTTTTCTTTCTTTCTTTAAAAAAATTTTTAAGTTTATTTATTTATTTTGAGAAAGAGAGAGAGAGCATGAGTGGAGTAGGTGTAGAGAGAGAGAGAGAGAGAGAGAGAGAGAATCCCGAAGAGACTCCATGCTGTCAGCTCAGAGCTCGACGTGGGGCTTGAACTCACAAACCATGAGATCACGACCTGAGCTGACACCGAGTTGGATGCTTCACCGACGGAGTCGCGCAGGCGCCCCTGTCGTCTTCCTGAGGCCCCCTTGCCCACTGGAAGCCTCCAGAGGCCGAGGGAGGCAGGTCCAGGGGGACTCACTCACTCACGTGCCCCGCTACGCTCTCCCCCTACCCCTGTTTGAGCACCAACAGGCCGGGCCGGGCTCTTGTTTACATGTTCCTCTGTCCCGACGCTCCCAGAGACCAGGCCCGCAGCCCCCTGGGTTCTTAGACAGCAGAGTGCAGGGCAGGGGTGTGCTGAAGGTGGGTCTTGTCCAGCGTCGCGTCGGTGCTTTAAACGAGGGTAGAGCCCAGAGAGATGAACCCATTGCTGGGCTTCCCCACGGGTAATCAGGCCTGACCAGAGCCAGGGTGCCCCGCAGGACGGAGCTTAGTGCTGCGGTGTCACAGCCGCGGGCCAGCCCGGCCAGCGGTGCAGGGAGAGCCGGTGCGGGTGAGGGACGGGACGCCAGGCACGCCCCTCTGGTAGCCGGCTTCTCAGAGTAAACCGTGTTTAGAAGAGAAAAGCACTTTTTAAAAAACCTTGGGCTTTTTTATAGACAAAGCTATTAGGGGCCTGCTTCATTAATCTTTTTTAATAAGCTTTTTAATGTCTATTTATTTTTGAGAGATAAAGACAGTGTGAGCAGGGGAGGGGCAGAGAGAGAAGGAGACCCTGAATTCGAAGCAGCCTCCGGGCTCTGAGCTGTCAGCACAGAGCCTGACTTGGGGCTCAAACTCCTGAACTACAAGATCATGACCTGAACCAAAGTCGGCCGCTCAACCGACTGACCCACCCAGGTGCCCCTAGTCCATTATTAATGTATCTTTGGAAGATGGGAGCTGAGATTAGTTTCTTCTGGTATGCCAGAAAACATGCTGATGGCCTTGTTTGAAAATGTATGCTGTACATAGAAACATGTATATAAAATAGTAGATACAACATCTATAAGATGCAACGTGTCTAACGTACATCATTCGATATATACGTATATGTGACTGACGGGTCTAGATGCGTATACCTACGTACGTCCCGAAAAGAATAGCTCTCTGGTGTTGCCCAGTGGATTTTCTCACTGACACATTCCTGTCTTGTCCACCAGCTGGCGGAACTCAGGAGGGGGGTGAAGACAGGAATATTAATAGGAGGCCGAGCAAAAAGCCCTGGGGCCGCAGGCGCAAGGTTTGTGGTACGCTGGCCACAGGGGAAGGAGGTTTGCATTTGGCAGATTGGACAGATTATCTGCCTTTGGCTTATCTGATAGGGAATCTGTCCCCGGGGGACAGGCGAGAGCCTGTCACAGCTCTGTGAGGGCAAAAGTCACAAAATTTAAGTCATTGCCATGGAAACCGTACCTGGATCTGCTTGCCCTGCGCTCCGTGGCAGAATTGGGCCTTTGAGGATGAGGCCGGCTCGCAGCTCCGTTCACTGTGCGAGGGGAGTGGAGGGGAGATGGGGTCCAGCCAGGGGGTGCGTGAGGAGAGGCAGCCGGCATGGGAACCAGCCCCTCCCGGACGCCACAGGCCGCTCACAGTAAAGAGAGGGGCAGGAGGGCACTGGGGACCAGAGGGGGCCACCGAAGGGCAGCGTGCTCTCCGCAGCTCCGCTCGACCAGCACTCACCCAGCGTCCGTCTGGAGAGAAGACAGAACAGGCTGAGGATTTCTCTCTGCGTGTCTTGTGATGGTTGCGGTGCTCAGGGCCTGCAGCCCACGTCACCCTCCTCAGGGCCTGTGCTCACAGGGGACCCCAGGACCCAGTCAGGGTGGAGCTGGGCTCCCCTAAAGCACTGGTGAGCACCACAGGCAGAGAGCTGTGTAGGAACATGGGGATGTGAGTCAGGCCGGGCAGGGGGCGGGCCGAGGGTCACCTGCCTCGCTTGAATTCTCCCTGGGGGGACTTCCGTGGGGCCTTCCCTCCCTCCTCCTTTCTCCCTTCCCGTCAGTTCAGGCGAACTCCCCACACATGTGCTTCCTGAGATCTGACGGCCACAAACAGTCCTAAAAGAGCAAACCCTGAAACTCTCAACTAATGAGCTAATTTTAGTCACGCGCTCACAATTGGGAACACATTACTAAAATGGAGATCGGTTAAAAAGCAGCACATTTCCCTCTGATTCCAGATTTCCTTCACATTAACAGGTTCTACTAAGCCTTCCCCCGGACCTACCAATGTGATCGTTTCCTGCCCCTGATTAACTCTCCCTTCAAAAAAACAGGTCAGGGGAGGAGTTGTTAGAGCAGGAGTGGGCCCGGCCTTGTAAATAAAACTTTATCGGAACCCCCGTTACAGATCAGCATGGCTGCTTTTGCGCCACAGCAGCCGAGCGGAGTGCTTGGAGAGCGAGCACACGACCCTCAAAGACTAAAATCCTCACGGTCTGCTCCTCTGCAGAAAAGGCTTGCCAGTTCCCGGAATAGAAGACTGTCTTCAAGGCTGTACCTGACGCAGCTTCTTCCTAGAGGCTGAGTCTGGCTTCCCTGCTCCACTGGGGAACAAGGGCCCACCAACGTGTGTCCCCAGGGCGGCCCGTGTAGGTGAAGTCTGGGCGCACGGCCAGCCCCAGGCTGTGGTCGATCCACAGTGCACACAGGTCCCGTGTCCACGCAGGGAACGTAACCCACGCTGGCCGTCGGTCGGTCACACGGCCCAGAGGCTTGCCAGGACCTTTCGTTGTCTTCCGAGCTTTCCCGGCAGAATTCAGCCGCTTCCGGTTACTTCCGGAGAGCAACTGCTGAAAAGCCTAGAAACCAGTGGCCTACTTGTGGGTCTTTGAAAAGAGCCCGTAATCCTTTGGCCCGAGCTAGCTTTCTGGCAGAGCCCGCCTTCTGTGCGGTTTCCGGTCGGGTTCGCGCTGCCGCTGCCGGCCGCTGAGGGTCCCGTGTCACCCCAGACAGGTGCTGAATGAGACCGATGACCCGGTGCACGAGGAAGGGCAGCTCGGGACTGGTGGTGTGGGGGCCTGCCAGCTTTGCACGAGGGCACGAGGCCGTGGGAACGCCGGGGATCCCTGGTTTTCAAAACACGCCTCCTCCCTAACTTCCTTTAATGGGGCTTCTACGGAGTTTGGGCCCCACTTGGATGGGAAGCCCGGCCCTTACGCACAGTAGTTGGTTCGAGGCTCAGGCGGAGATCTGGGAAGGGCAGCGGCCGTAGGCAAAGGGGCCATTTGCGGAGAAGAAGAATTTGGCCATATGTCTTCCCTCCTCTCCCTCTGTCCCCCTTACTGGACATTGTCCGAGTGCCTGCTGTATGCCTCGCACCGGGCGAGGATGTGAGGCTGCAAGACTGAAGAGACAGGCCTGAGTTCAGAGAACCGCGTCCTGGGGACGCAGACGAGGCAGCAGAGGGCTGCCTGGGCCACGGCCTGCGGGACGCGGAGAGAATCCTGCCTGGCCCTTGGGCAAGGCTTCGGGATGTAGTGCAGGCAGGCAGGGGGATCCCGGGAACCGAGGGCTTGCCGTGTGCAGACCCAACACCTCTAAAGGACTCTGAGTGTATTTGGGGGTGGTCAGCAGCGGGGGGTGGCCAGAGGGGAGGAGAAAACCAGACGGGCACCTGATCATGAAGGTTCTAGAATGTCAGACTGTGTGGACTGGACGTTCCCACCGGGTTACTAACACGAAGCCCGGCACTGGCGAGGCCCCTGGCCCCGAGCCACCGTGCCCTTGTGTGCGGGCCCTGACTCGACTGTTCTGTGTCCCCGCGCCAGAGGTGCTGCTGGACCCCTGCCGGACGTGGTGCCCCGCCTCCACCTGCCAGGCCGTGTGCCAGCTGCAGCACGCGGCGCCCCAGACGCCCCAGCTGGTGCGCTGCGCGGCCTGCGATACGGAATTCTGCTCCGCCTGCAAAGCCAGCTGGCATCCTGGCCAGGGCTGCCCGGAGAGCATGCCCATCACCTTCCTTCCCGGAGAAACCAGGTACCCACTCTCCGCACGGGTGGCCAGGAAGGCGCGGGGTGGGGCTGGGGGTGGGGGGAAGGAACCACACGCACCCTCCCCAGCTCGGTGTCCGGAACACACGGGCGCATCTGGGTCCGTCTCTTCCTCTTCAGCCTTGATTAAACCTGGGTTGGTTGGTTGATTTTTTGTTTGTTTCTTTTTGGTTTATTTATTTTGAGGGAGAGAGAGAGCAAGTGGGGGCAGCGTAGAGAGAAAAGGAGAGGGAGAGAGAATCCCGAGCAGGCTCTCTGTTGTCGGCTCAGAGCGTGACGCAGGGCCCGAACTCACAAACCTTGAGATCGTGACCCGAGCTGAGATCGAGGGGCAGCTGCTTAACTGACTGAGCCCCCCCAGGCGCCCCGGTTGACTATTTTGAGAACTGATTTTGTGTCGGGGAATGTGCGAGGCAAGGACACTGTGAAGTTCGTAGGAAGCAAACTGCCCTCGGCCTCCCCAGAAAGACAGACGCGTGGCCGGTGTGTCACTGTGAGTTTTATGTCCTGTGATACCTGACATTTTCCAAGACGCCCTTGTGGGGAAGGGGACCTGAAATGGGGGCAGGAGCGGGAGCCGGAGTAGGTGGCTTGTCATACGAGACGCATCCCCGAAACGAGGTGCCCGGATGCCTGAGACCGAGAGCTTGGGTCTGCCTGGATGAGCAGGCCGTCGGAAGCCGTGGGGGAGCAGGGTCCGCCCCGCTGTGCCCTGGCCGGGCCCTCTGCCGGGCCGCCAGGTGGACGCTGCAGCGTCGGTGTGGAGCCTGGAAGTTAAGTAGGATGAGTCATAAGAAATTGGTGATATTCAGCTATTTCCGTCCTACCGAATCTGTAGCACAGATGGTTCACCGAGATAGCATTGGTCTGGTGCCTGTGGAGGCCGTGTTCTTTTTTTTTTTTTTAATGTTTATTGTTATTGAGACAGAGAGAAACAGCATGAGCGGGGGAGGGGCAGAGAGAGAAGGAGACACAGAATCCGAAGCAGCTCCAGGCTCTGAGCTGTCAGCACAGAGCCCGACGCGGGGCTCGAACCCACGGACTGTGAGATCATACCTTGAGCCGAAGTCGGCCGCTCAACCGACTGAGCCACCCAGGCGTCCCCATGAATGCATACTCCTAGACGCACCGGCTTCTGGAAGGGTCGCTCAGCCCTGGGGGGGGGGGTGGGTCATTTTTCTCCCGGGGGTGTTGGTCTGATCCAGTGGGTTCAGATAATACAGCAATGTGTTCCCATGATAACTTCTTGTAGCAAGCAGTTGGCCATTTATTCTCCCGGATGTTTCCATGCATAATTTTTTTAGCTTTCTTTTAAAATTTAATAGCATGGGACGGGCATTCGTTCAGAGTCACAGCAGCATATATGTCATCTCCTTACTAGCAGCATAGAATTGCTGCGGTCATGGATCAGTCACTTGACCCACGCTTGACACTGCAGCGTGCTCCTGTCATGCGTGACTGCCTGGCTCACACGGGCAGGGCCGCGGCCGGCAGCGGCTGTCACACGGCTAGTCTGTGGAGAGCCAGCCCGTGACCCCAGCCTGCAGCCCCTCCGGCTGACCACGTGGCTTCCCAGCCCCTCCAGCTAACTAGACTTCCCCGGAAAGCAATTCTGTAAAGACAGGCCCTATAGATCTAATCAAATGGCGAGCATGTCTTTGTACCTACTTTTTCTGATAATAGCAAAGTGCGGAAATTTGCCATTGGTCCTTTGGAAATTATGCACATACATGAATAAGGACAGTACAATTTAACAATCCCATTACGTGCACACTGCCATTGTAAGCTTTTGCCGTAATTTCTTCTTTTTTTTTTGTAATTTTAGTTATTTACTTTTAATATTTTATTTGAGAGACAGTGGCAGAGATAGAGAAATATTTTTTTAAAGTTTTTAATGTTTGTTTATTTTTGAGAGAGACGGAGTGCAAACAGGAGGGGTAGAGAGAGAGAGGGAGACACAGAATCTAAAGCAGGCTCAGGCTCTGAGCTGTCAGCACAGAGCCCGACGCGGGGCTCGAACCCATGAACGATGAGATCATGGCCTGAGCTGAAGCTGGCTGCTTAACTGACTGAGCCACCCAGGTGCCATGAGAGAATTTTTTTATTTATTATTTATTTTTTTTTTTTGAGAGAGAGAGAGAGAGAGCGAGCAAGTGAGCAAGGGGCAGAGATTGAATATCCCAAGAGGGCAGAGGGAGAGAGGGGGTAGCGGAAGAGAGAGAGAGAGAGAGAGAGAAGCAGAGCTCACCCAAAGCAGCGCTCGTTTCTACCTGAAGCAGAGCTCGAGCTCACCCCATGTGAGACTCGAACTCATGAACTGTGAGATCACGGCCTGAGCTGAAGTCAGATGCTTAAGGACTGAGCCACCCGGGCTCCCTGCCATAACTTCTTTGGTTTGTCTACACATATCTAAGTGTAAATGCACACTGACATTGCTTTTTTCTCCTCCCGAATCCAACTGGCTGATCCAGTTTCTTTTGGTGATTGTTACGTGGAGGGGGAGTTTCATCGGATTCAGTCTGTAACGTCTGATAAGAAGTGGCCTGGGCCGCTGTGGATGAACTAGCGCTCTCCCCACCCCTCCCCTGGCCCTGTGAGCCCATCACTGACGGACTCTCTCCCTCCCGCAGCTCTGCTTTCAGACTGGAGGAGGACGACGCGCCCATCAAGCGGTGCCCCAAGTGCAAGGTGTACATCGAGCGGGACGAAGGGTGCGCACAGATGATGTGTAAGAACTGCAAGCACGCCTTCTGCTGGTACTGCCTCGAGTCTCTGGACGTGAGTACTGCCTCCGGGCGCGGAACCCACCGGCCCTTCCCCGAGGAGCTTGGAGAAGGGGCCCGGGGAAACAGAAACTACATTATCAGATGTTTTCTGTGCTTCTGAAAGTATGAACTCCCCCAGCGCAGTGGTGCCAGAGACGGTGATTCGTGCAGGTGTTCTGGAAGCAAAAGGGCAGCTCGTCAGGTGGGCGGGGTCGTAGGGTCTTCGGTTTGGTCCGTGGGGACCATCTGGGCTTGGTCCCCTGGAACAGAACACCAGAGCCTGGGCGCCGAAACAACAGGCATTGATCTGGAGTCCGGTAGCCCAAGGTTAAGGTGCCAGTAGATTCGGTTCCTGACCCTTGACCTCAGTGCCCAGAGAGGCAAGAGAGTCCTTTTCCTGGTTTACAGACAGCTGCCTTCTCTCTGTGTCCTCACATGGCAGAGAGAGAGATTGGTGTCTCTTCACTGAATAAGGGCACTGATCCCATCATGGGGCACCCACCCATCTTGTGACCTCATCTGAACCTAATCACCTCCCAAAGACGCCACCTTCAGATACCGTCATATGGGGATTCGGGCTTCAGTGTACGAATTTGGGGGTGGGGGGGGGAGGATGCAACCATGTAGGCCACAGCAGGACCATTAGCGGAATAGGAAGGGTAAACAGAGGCAGGGCACTGGGGAACATGTTGACAGTGGCATAGTTCAGTGACCTGTCACCCGCCGGGCAGAAAAGCATACACTCTGTGCCATCTGGCAGGATGGAAGTTTCCAGCCTCATATGGCCACCTTCTCCCAGGCATGCCCTGTGCTGAATGCGTCCCAAGCACTCTGTACTTCAGTATCTTTGCACGTGCTAAGTCCCCACTGGGAGCACACAACCCCTCCCCTCTCTGAGCACCTGGTTTTCTTTGGAGCTTCAAGGCCAGATGCGAAGGATACTAATTTCAGTTCCATGTTCTCCTTCACCCATATTAGTAGAATGGGCATCTTGCCAAAATGATGACATTCTGACTCTAGCTTTACAAGAGTTTATTTGTACATAAGTTTTTTGTACAAAGGTTTGTTGTATAAGAGTTTATTGTACATAGGTTTTTTTGTTTTTCTTTAATTTTATTTATTTATTTATTTATTTATTTATTTATTTATTTAGAGCACACATGCGCAGAGGGACGGGGAGACAGAGAGAATCCTAAGCAGACGCGACACTGTCAGTGCAGAGCCTGACTCAGGGTGCGAACTCAGGAACCACGAGATCATGACCTGAGCCAAAACCAAGAGTCAGCTGCTCAACTCACTGAGCCACCCAGTGCCCCAGACATAGATTTTGAAAACTATAATTAAGTAGCAGAAATGATCGTCTGTGAAAATCACTGTGGTTAGTGACAGCCCAAGCAAATCAAGTCCCGTGTCCTTTCTGTTTGTGTATGTCTGTCCTGTACAGCAAGGATGACTGTGTCAGCTCTTCAAAAGTAGTGTGAAGCCATTAAGACCTACCTAAAAGAAAGGAGGGATTGTTACGGATCCCCGCGTTCCCTTGCGAGGGGTTCGTTTGTCCACAGCCTGCCCCTGTGTCCCTCACTCTGTGATATCAAAGTGCTGGTCTAGGTGAATGCCCCTCTCAGGCTACATCAGAGCCATCAGCTCAGCTCTGGAGGTCTGCAGAGGTGAAGGAGAAAGGGTCCATAACAGTGGGCTTCGTGGAGTAACCTTGAAAGTTTGCCCGTCGTCCTCAGGACGACTCTACCGGTTGTCAGGAGTATACATGCCTATTGGAGATGAAATCTAAAAGGTGCCAGGTCTGTAACTTAAGGGCCGCCTTTAAAAATACTGGATTGCTTCTTTTGTGTTGTTTTTCGGAAAACGCTGCTGTTCCTTTATTAACTTGCAGTTATGAAACGTCCAGTAAACCAGGTGTAGCTGAACAAATCTCAGGAAGTCATTACCCTTTTTCTGTCCTGGAGGCTTCCTTTTCTCACCCCAGGCAAGTTTCATAAGTCAGCTTGGCGAGGTTAATCTTCTTTAGCGTAGGCCCCAAGTTTGTTCTGTGACCTTGCGCGGTGGCTAGAGATGTTTAGAAGGACATCTGAAGCACCACAAAATCCTTGGGGCCTTAAAGTTCTTACGTATGTATGTATATAAAATTATATATATGTCCTTTCCCTACATTATGTATATAACTTTGCATTTTGCTGTATTCTGATTTTGGTGGGGAAACTGATTTTTAAATTCTGATGTTGGTCATCCAGTATCTGGTCTGCAGTTTCGTGCTCCTTACGTTTCCTAAAGGAGAAAAGAAGGAAATACCAGTGTGCTACATGTTAGCCAATCTCCTGGAGACTTTTTTTGGGGGGGAGGGACGTGTTGGAAACAAGCTGACCGCAGGTTTATTTTGGGGGGCGGTCACCGTGCTGCCTTGATGAAGTTACAGGAACGGGAATGGGTCTCCGTTGAACACAAGGCTGTTCGCTCTGCTCTGGTCCCTGGAGAAACACCCCGTCCGTCTGTCTGACTCAGTTCTGAGCCCCAGGTTCTCCCCACCTCCCACCCCTGTGCAGAAGGCCTGGACCCTCCTGGCTCTTCTGCTTCAACTAATCAGGGAGGAAGTGTCCTCCCCTTTTCCGCGTTGAAAGTCACCCTCCTCCTGCCCAAGCGTTTCTTGTTAGTCTCTGTAAAGGAAGAGCTGCTGAAAAATGACCCTGGGGCCATAGAAATCAGATTCTCAAGGAAAGTCAGAGTCTGCTCTGTTCACGGCCATTTATCAAGGTCAATAACTGTGATTTAAGACCAGTGCATGAGCACTGGCTGGCAGCCAGCAATGCTTCTAAGACAGGAGTGCACTTTTCTCGTCTTTCTCCTCCAGGGAACCTCTCCCCTGGAGACAGGATCTTGCACATGGATAATCGGGGAGTCGTAAATCACGTCAGACTGCTTCCTTCCATCGCGGGCCTCATTGCCCGCTCTGCACCTGGCCCGGACCCTCCTGGTGGGCATTTAGTGCTCCCCTGCTCCCCGCCTTTGCCACACAGTTGAAAGGGACACGTGCACTTTTCTTCCTTTTATTTTTTCGGGGGATAGGTTTTATTAAAGTAATAGTTATGTGCCCACACTGTGCAGTTTGTTCTGCGGACCCATTTTATTTACTACACGCCTTCTGTGGGTGAGAGTTGGAATTACAGTAAAACCTCGATCCATTCTGAAAACATGCTTGTAATCCAAAGCACAGGTGTATCGGAGTGCATTTCAAGAACCATTGGCTGAGTGCGATCGCGTGACGTTCGGCGTCCTATAGGACTCGTATTGCAACATCGCTGGTTTATGGAGTTAAAGTTTATTAGAAACGTTTGCGCCTCTTGCGGGATGCTCGCGGAACAAGTTACTCGCAATCCAAGGTTTTATGGTGCTTCCTTTTCTCAAGAGGAATCCAGGAAGACTTAAGAGTCTCCACTCGGATCATTCAGTCTCTAAAAAACGACAGTTTGGGGTGAGAGCCTGTGGGTGGAAGCCCAAATTTGACACAAAAGGCCTGGGGGGCAGGGGAGGATTTATTTTTATCCTTGAATCTCTCCTTGATTGCAGCTTTCTACTCATGCCCCATTGTTTATTTCCAGCCAGGGGCTCAAGGAAACTTCCCTGAACAATAAGAAGGGAAATGTTGCCTCCCACAAAAATACACCTGGTTCTGGCAGGTCCTGGGGTGGGGGTGGGGGTTCTGCCCCAGGGCTTCCCTAGGAAGCTTAACATCATAATGAAATTATTTGTATTTTGTAAAAGCATCTTAGACTGCTTTTGTCCCGTAAGAGAAAGATCCTATTTGAACAAGCTTTTCACTCTGTTTCAGAAGCTGGCCCTGAGTGTCCAGCTCCTAGGGACTCCTGAGCTGGGTTGAGGCTGCGCTGTCTCCAGGAGGCTGGACAGTGATCACCCTGCCCCCCCCCCCCTTTGGTTTGTTTGTATTTCAGAAAACAAATTCAAAAGCCGTACAGAGGCCTCCAGTACAAGGCCTTATGATAGTCCATCTGGGAAAACGAGACATAGCAATGAAAAATTAACTCATTTCAGCACATGAGTAAATTAATATCAGGAGATAGGAAAGCGTAATTCAGAGCTCAAGGAAGCGAAGAGGGTTCACAGTGGACAGACGTGGTCAGAAGTAGCTTCACAGGGGCACCTGGGTGGTCTGGTCGGTTGAGCGTCTGACTTCGGCTCAGGTCATGGTTTGTGGGTTCGAGCCCCGTGTCGGGCTCTGTGCTGACAGCTCAGAGCCTGGAGCCTGCTTTGGATTCTGTGTCTCCCTCTCTCTCCCCCTCCCATGCTTCTCTCTCTCTCTCAAATGATTAAACATTAAAAAAAAAAAAAAAAGTAGCTTCACAGAAGCTGAAGCACCAGAAGGAGTTTTATATCCATGCACCCAGGCTTCCTTCCACAGTTGCGGGGACCGAGCAAAGGGCCTGGGGCAGGTAGTGGCAGCTGGGGACCCCCACCTTCCCTAGAGATTTCTTGATGCTGTCCCAGAAGAGCCAGGGTTTCCTGACGTGCCCTGCACGTTCTGGCACCAGGAGGGTGGCCTGTAAAAGCCCCAGATTCTCTGTCAGCATCGTTCTCAGGCTGAGCCGAGGACCTGCGAACGGCAGCCACCCTGTCTGGTTCCAGCAGAGCAGGTTGTAAGGGCCGGACACGTCGCTGATGCCCGGCTCTCCGGGGCTCTTGGAAGAGTGACTTCCTGGGCAGTAGGTCTCAATGACCGTGCTCATCTGTTCCTTTCTCAGGAGGAGCTGGGTGTTTACAGCCTCAGATGAATGTGTCCAGGGCCGCAGGGCCCTCCTCTGCACTGTTGATCGAGCTGTTGTTTTCACGATCAACAGGAGAGAAAATGGCATTTCCTGCTCCAGTTGGGGGACCGAGGCTTCTGTGTGGAAAGCCCGCTCCTGCTGGCTCACTTGGTGTGGGCCCGGGTTTGGGGGGCCGAGCGCTGAACCAGGAACATAGTTAAGAGACTGTCTTTGGCTGAGGCTCCCACCCCAAGACCCTGACCGCGATCAGATGGGAGGTGAGGGTGGGAGGTGAGAGCGCCGGAGGGCGGCAGGAACAGTCAGAACTCGCTGCAGACATCTGGAGGAAGCGTCCGTGGCAGACGGCCCGCGCTGCCTGTCGCTGAGGCCGGAGTAGGTTTTCACGGTCTGAGCGGAAAGGAGGAAGCACTTCCCAGGTGGGGAGCCCGGCACTAATGGGGGAGGATGAGCCAGAGATCAAGAGCATCATCTAATCCAGGGGTCGTCCTGCCTGCGGGCGGCTGGAGGATGTAAAGGCTCCAGGGGCATCAAACACAGCCCGGGAGGGGAGGGAGGGGAGCGGCTCGAGGAGTAGCTGGAGCCTCTGCCCTACTTGTTCAGAAGCCCAGAGGCTCTCTTCCCTGCGGAAGCCAGAGACGGAAATCTGGGGCCGGGCTCCCTCTAGTGCCCACGTCCCCTTGGGGAGTTGTGGGGGGAGGATGGAGGAGGGAGCTGGGGCTGGGAGGGGGGGCCCGGTGCTGTGGGTGGGAGCCCTGCCTCTGCTCCTGGCCCCCACTTACTCTGGCCCGGGCAGGCCTCCCTCACTGAGCCGCGAGGAACGTGCCACTCACCCCGCTCTGTCTCCTCCCAGGATGACTTCCTCCTCATCCACTACGATAAAGGACCTTGCCGGAACAAGCTGGGCCATTCCAGAGCATCTGTGATCTGGCACCGGACACAGGTAGGAGGCGGCTCACCCGGGGCTTTCATCTGCCGAAGAGAGAATGTGTGTGTGCGCACGTTGGTGGGAGATGTGCTCTTTAGGAAAGTAGAGCTAGTAAAGGTGGGACCTGCCCGAACTTTTCTTGCCCTGAGATTGGGCTTCTGGTAGCTCCGGCCCAAAGCTGTGGCGGGTAGGTAGGCATCGCATTCGGTGCGTGATGGCTCTTGAATGTCAGACTGTAGATTTCTCGTACCTTACTCACGGCTTTGGTGACGATCCGTTGAGTTGGTTAATTCTTGCATGGCCCTTACCAAAGAGCATTTTCTAGAAGTTGAGGTAAGCAAGTGGGTCATAGAAAAGAGGGACAGAGAGGAAGGAAAGAGTGCCTGCCTGGCAGTAGCTGAGCAGCAGACTGTGGGGTTTACAGAGGGCCAGCGCATAACACTCATCTATACTTTCAACACGCATTTCCTTCCTGCTGCGGCCCGGATACTGTCCTAGGAAGGGTATTCACTGGAAGAATAAGATTCAGCTGTCTGAGTCATTGGGACGCTTCCAGTGAGTAAGGAGATGTGTGCTGTGTAGGGACGGAGATAATACAGCAGCAGGAAGAACGTGGTAGGAGTTCTGCTGAGGAGGGGATGTGATCGGGATTGCACGGTCGGGAAGGGCCGTTCCGGTGGTCCCCAGGGTGGAGCGTTGAGCGATATTAACCCTAAAAATAAAGCTTCCAGCTGTTTTACCAACAGAAATGAGTTTATTTGGGAAGAGTCTAGAAATGCAGCTTAGGACGTGTAAGCTACAGCAAGCTCACGGACAAGATGCAGAGCAAAGGGGAGGAACTCTCTTGTATAGAAGACAGGGGGCGCTGGGAAGCCCTTCACACACATCGGAAGCCCTTTGGAATAAACTGGGGCCCCCAAATGTAGTGGCTTCTCCCTGCTGAGTTGTGGGCGGCTCGTTGGCTGGGCTGTGGCAGGGGAGGTCGGGGAGGAAATTGCCCTTCCTCCTCCTGGGGAAGCAAAGTAGCCTTTGAGGACAAGTGGTGGGGCCTGGGCTCTACCTGCTGGTCTCCTGATGCCGTTTTCAACGAAGTTTCCCTTAGTAATTTTCACGGTGATGAGGAGGAGCTGGCCGTGAGAGGTGGGGACAGGGAGGGACAGTTCAGTTAGAGGAGGGGACTGTCCAGACAGAGGAGGGAACAGTCAGGCAGAGGAGGGACAGTCCAGGCAAGGGGGGGCAGTCCAAGCAGAGGGGGGACAGTATGGGCAGGGGGCAGTCCAGGTGGAGGGAAAAGTCAGGCAGAGGAGGGGACAGTCCAGGCAGAGGAAGGGATAGTTCAGACAGAGGGGGGACGGTCTGGCGGGGACGAATTGCCCTGATGCGGGCTCCTTGCCTTCGCATCCCAGCCGCGTAAGGGGACCCTCTCGTGTGCACCTGTGCAGAATCACTGGCAGTCAGGACAAGGCGGGGCCTCGGGGCCCATGTTCGGCTCCAGCCTTTTCATGTAGGGAATGAGCACCGGCCCAGGGAAGGGGACTTGCTCAAAGGTGGTTACTGGTTGCTGCGCGACAATTCTCCCCAAATGCATTGCCCTCATATCCTCACGGTTAGCGTGTTCACGATCTGCAGTGTGAATAAGGCCGCACAGACGGCTTGACGGCTTGTCTCGGTACCCCGCCTTGGCATTCGCTGGGATGGAAGTTCCTTCAGTGTCTGGGTAGTTGGACACCGCAGGGCACGGCAGGTGCTGGATCTGGAGCTCCTAACCGGTTCTGTCCACACCGCCTGAGCTTCTAACCGTATGGTGGCTGGTGGTAAGCGTGAGCGCCCCAGAACAGAGCGAGGGCAGCGTGGGACCTGTGTCCCCCTTTCTCCTGAAGCCCGGGCAGGCACACCTGATGTGCCGGTTCATTCAGGCGGAGTGAGTCACCTGTCCCTGGGGGGCCCTGGGCAGCACCGAGTTCCTGGTAACAGTCATTCACAGGACTTGAGAAATATACTTAAAAAAGAATCCAGACACAAGGGTCCATGCCCCGCACTAGCCTGGAACCTTTCTGCCAGCTCCTTTTGGGCTGCTGAGTGCCCGCTCTGAGCTGGTGCTGAGTGCCCGCTCTGAGAGCTGGCTGCTGAGTGCCCGCTCTGAGCTGGCTGCTGGGTGCCCGCTCTGAGCTGGCTGCTGGGTGCCCGCTCTGAGCTGGCTGCTGGGTGCCTGCTCTGAGAGCTGGCTGCTGAGTGCCCGCTCTGAGAGCTGGCTGCTGGGTGCCTGCTCCGAGCTGGCTGCTGGGTGCCCTCTCTGAGAGCTGGCTGCTGGGTGCCCGCTCCGAGCTGGCTGCTGGGTGCCCACTCTGAGAGCTGGCTGCTGAGTGCCTGCTCTGAGCTGGCTGCTGGGTGCCCGCTCTGAGAGCTGGCTGCTGAGTGCCCGCTCTGAGCTGGCTGCTGGGTGCCCGCTCTGAGCTGGCTGCTGGGTGCCCGCTCTGAGAGCTGGCTGCTGAGTGCCCGCTCCGAGCTGGCTGCTGGGTGCCCGCTCCGAGCTGGCTGCTGGGTGCCCGCTCCGAGCTGGCTGCTGGGTGCCCGCTCCGAGCTGGCTGCTGGGTGCCCGCTCTGAGAGCTGGCTGCTGGGTGCCCGCTCCGAGCTGGGCCCTGGAGCCAGCCGGGGGTCCCCGATCGCAGGGACTGAGCAGGAGAACTGAACGGGAGCGTGCACCGTGCAGGGCCCCACGGAGGCATCTGCTTCTCTGTGGGGCAGGGAGCCCCCGGAACGGGCAGGGCCGGAGCTTCAGAAGTGGAGGGTGTCCGCAAGCTAGTGCTGGATTTGGGGAAACTGGTGAAACACGTGCGAACCAGCGGCAAAAGGAAAGCAAAGGTAAATCATAAAACCAGCGAAGTGCGGCAAGTGGAAAGGGGTGGAGCCACGGCCTGTGGGCTGGGAGCGGCACTGTGTGCAGAGGCTGAGCCACACCGGAGTGAATGTTCCCGTGCAGAGGACGCCCCTGCTGCCCCTAAGCCTTGGGTGTTGACAGTGAGGACCACCCCCTGCACGAGGTAGAGACCACCCGCCGCCAGAATCACTGGAGCTCATGTGGCTCCTTAGGGTGAGGTCTCGGGCAGAAGCTTGGTGCTCATTTCCCACGTGCGTCTCCCGCCCTCCGATCCCCTGGGCCCGTCGGTTCTGTCGGTTCTCTTCTGCTTCCCGCTGGCTTCCTACCAATCCCGGGAAGGGAGCCTCACGTGGTGTTTAGTGCACGACCTCTTGAGCGGAAATGGGTTTCCCTGTCCCCCGTCAGCTCTTCCCTGAAATGTCAGGGGAGTGTTTGTGAGGCGCCTGGGGTGGGGGCTGATCGATGCTCGGCCGCCCCAGCACGGCAGGTGGGACGCTGTTTGCAGGGCCTGGCGACACCTTCCTGCTCACTGCCCGGCCCTGTGTCCTGACCTCCACGGCTCCCTCTTTCCTCTGCTTGTCCCATCCCGGCTCATGGACATTCTCCCTTTGTCTATAGCCAAGGTCGGGGCCACGTCCTCTGTGACCCCCCCCCCCCCCCCAGGGTCTGAACATTTGTTTCAGACCGATCCCTTCCCGGGACCCCTCCTGCGTTCCCCTCTCGACCGTGTGACTTAGGTCTTAGGAGGCTCTTCCCCAGCTGGGACTTGTTTTGCTCATTTGTGGCCCTGCGGCCGCCCCTTGCTTGAGCCAGAAAGATGCTGCAGAAACAACCCTGGTTGAAAGCGTGATCGAGCGGTCTGGCTTTCCTGTGACGAGTTCTCAGCCTTCCTGCTCGAAGCCAGCCGTCTCCGGGGGGACCTTCCTCTTACTTCCCTCAGCGCCTTTTTCCTTTGGGTGGGCAGGAAGCGGAGGAGCCTGTCCCGCTGGCTGGGCCGTGTTCCCCGGGAATCCCGCGGGAGCTGCTGGTGTCCTCGTGCGCGCCTGATGGCGGCTGGGGACGCGGAGCTGCTTGGTGACCATTCAGAGAAGCAGCTCTTGCTGTAGTTGGGAACCTCTTCCTCTGTGGGGGCAGCCAAAGGCTCCTGTTCAGAAAAGTGGGCGCTGGACCTGGAGCACTTGTGTTGGAGGAAGCAGGAGCTGGGGTGTTAGTGTGACAGAGTGTGACGGGTGACGGCAGGCAGCACTTGAGTGGACGCCCGCCCAGCTTCACGTGGGCTCATCTTTGTCCGCCCGTTAGATTGCTTCCAGGGGCCCGCCTGCCACCTTGCCCGTCCCCTGCGCTGTGCAGGGCTGACCCGTGCGGCCTCCCTGCGGCCCGTTGGGTGAAGCCCAGCGAACGTTGACCAAGCGTATTTCGGGAGCTCATAGGATTGCCAGGCGGAGGGAGATATGAGAAGCATAGAAGAATCTCTTGTTGATTATTCAGGCTGGACGGTTTGAGGGAAACTATGGAAAGGGTGGCTACTAAATCTAACCATAAAGTTTCCAAATGGGAGGCTGCAGAAATGGCTTTCGTGGAGCATGCGGCCACGAAGCAGGGGCCCAGCATGTGACCCTGGGGACAGGATGGGGGTGCCTGGAGGTTCAGGGCAGCTGATGGGGAGCTGGGGTGGAGTGGTGATTGTGCCTGGAGAAGACCCCGGGTATCATGCTTAGACTTTAAACTGTAGCACTAGGGAGCCACAGCCCCCTTAAGAGCAGCAGAGTAGAATGCACATACAGACACCACCTGAAGATTTCTCCTCCTGGCATCCATGGTCCCTCAGGACCAGGGTCCTGTTCCAGCCCCTGGGTGGCCCGTGCCCAGGCCAGAGCATGTTCTGAACAGTGGCTTTGGAATTTTAACTTGGCTGAAACCCATGCATACAAACACACAGTGCCCTTCGACCCATAAAGTACCCACACCCACCCACATACGCATCCTCCCTGCTCGATCTGTTCTGTCTCCTAAAGTTCTGGCCTTGACCCCCTGATTGAGTCACCGTCCCCCACACGGGTCAGAGGCGCTGCCCTGGGCGGCCCGCTTCCTAAAGCTCCTTGGGGAAGTGCCTCCGTGGGCCACCCAGGGCCTTGC